AGCACGCAGCTTTGAGGCCTTTGTGGCAGTGCATTTCGCAACCTGCCCTTCCGCCAAGAGCTTTGAAATGCCCCGAGGTGAGCAAACACCAACGTCGACATCGTTTGACATAAAACGGGCAGTGTCTGAATTCTCGAATTACAGTGGATGATATTCATCGCACTAAGTCCTCATAGTGCCCCAACGTTGGGCAGCACCTTCCACATCCTTGAAAACTGCTTCTGCTGAAGGCTTTCGCTGCCCAAAGGTCAGAGGCTCCGAACTTCACGTCACAAAGCATCATCTGCCAACTCTCCCCTGGAACACGTGGAAATCAGCTGGGCATCTGATGCCATTGCCGCAGAAAGCCCACCAACAACGCCTGAAATGCTCGCAGCACAGGCGGCATCTCGGAAACCATCTCCTTTAATCAGGCCGCAAGCATCCACAGCACCAGATAGGAAGGAAGTTGCCAAACCAAGAGAACCTATCAGCCCCATCATGTCCACTGAACAAAGTCTCCGTCCAGACTTTGTGTTTGCGATGGTATACGGGTCACACTGATGAACGCTGGCGGTGATGCCTGTGCCCATGCGCATGAGGAATGTCGTTCCCAAGCCAACGAAGGCGATGCAGCGTGAAACTGCACGGCCATTGACAGGATTCGTATAGTTTTCCAGTGGGTTTGGAGGTAGGACGAGCTTCTGATGAATCTCATTGATCTTTTTCAGAACGGGGGTATCATCTAGATTACTCGCCGGAATTCTAAGACCTCTTCGCGAGCGCCATCGTCTTGCCCATTCGAGCCTGGCCTCCTTACTTGGTGCACATGCCAAGTCTGAGCCGATTCCAGACTGGACCGTAACCAACAGGTTGCCTGCAAATGAGGTGATCGCAGCAGTGCACTGCGCCCTTACATCATATGTTGGAACGCAGTCTGATACAGATGCTGCTATCTCTGTGCCGGCAATTACAAATGAGTAAATAGCCGTCAGAATGGAGGAAGAGCACCTCAGACGATCATCGTTCGTCCGTACATTTCCTCTTTCCCCGCCGGTAGCTAGGCCGACAATTCCACCAGACTTTTTGCAGTCAAAGTCTACTGCTTGGACAATGGCGTTGGCTGCTTCCATGAGTCGAAAAACAGTCTGAGCAACGTCAATGCTGCAGTCCACTTTCTCTGTATCGTCAAACACGTCATCATCATACCGATACACACGCCCTGCAACAAGATGTCGCAGTTTACTCATCATCTCCCGGATGTCAGGTGGCAAGCCATCTGACACGTCCATTTCATTGAGCTCGAGGAACTCAGGGGCGTCAGCCTTCCAATCTCTGGACCCTCCAAGAAGACTGGGAGAAAGAAGTGACTTTGGAGCCATGACCTCAACCACACCCAGCACGCCTCCGGCCGCGAGCACGACAGCCGCAACCGCTCGAACTGCCATCCATGCATGGGACGGGATCTTGGGCACTGGCCGCTCCTGCAAGGGGAGGTCCTCTTCTTCAACATCTGGAACATGGATCATGGCCTCGGAGTGATGAGCGTTGATCATTGCCTGAGTTGCACGGGATGTCTTCATGGCAATTCAACAACGGTTGCCTTGAAACTCTAGACTAGGCCCGTGGGCTAGACCAACAAGAGAAATCATAAAAAATCCATTTCAGCCGAGCTGCATGGGCCATGTCTGCGCAAGGCTCAAGCTATGAGGGGCAGTGGCTTGAGTCAGCACTGACGCAAAGATTCTTCATGCATGCACGTGAGAAGAGCTTAAGAGAAACAGGATTGACGTCAAATGGGACCTGAAATGCAACAAGGAATCTAGATGACGGTGGCTGCATGACAAGGCCAGCAGATTTCTCCACTCACAACC